TTTTCCCTATTGAGCATAGAAGATCGAAAGTGTGAGTTATTATGCAATAAAATCACTGTTTGACATTCTATATTAAGACAAATGACGTAATCATTATACTCGCAAAGTAACCACTAAAAATGTTGACGCGCTGAAAATGAGTACGGAAACAAATCAGGCTCAATTTAGCTATATATAAGGTACAGCATTAAAATTTTATTTGTTGATGTCGTGTTAGAATCAAAATAATATATCCAAATTGGTGATTTTATCACTTAATAAAATCACTGTTTGTTGATTGAATGTGCATCATTATATCACTCGGGCTACTCCCTCGTAATTCCACACATCCGACCTCCAAACAGTGATTTTATTGAGTGATAAAATCACAGTTTGGAGTATATTATCTTAATTATCTACACATAAACACCTTTTATTTAAGAAAAAATATATATCCAAAACTGTGATTTTATTGCTCCATTACATCACTGTTTGGAGTTCGGATGTGGGGAATTATATATAACGATCAGCATCCGAATGACAAGCAATAAAATCACCGATTTGGATATATTATTTCGATTCTAACACGACATCAACAAATAGATGCTGCCGTACATGGTAATTAGCTAAATTGCACCTGATTTGTTTCCGTACTTATTGTCAGCGCGTCACATCTTTAGTGGTTACGTCAGGTGTATAATGATTATGTCACATGTCTAAATATAGAACGTCAAACAGTGATTTTATTGCATTATAAATAACACACACTTTCGGTTTTTTCTATGTTCAATAGGGAAAAATGTGGGTCGTCTTAGAATACATTGTAATACTTTTGTCTATACATATGTATATGTATCTAAACTTACTGTTTACAATATGTTGTCAAAGAAAAATTTGTTCACATATCTAGTCAGACATTGTCTTGTAACGTAAATAAATTGTAGTACAATATTAATTTATACAATTTGTCTTTGACAAAACATGAAAATATTCCAATAGTAATACATGTAAGTTATAAAAGTAATTCATGTAAGTTTAAAACCAAATAAAGAATTGAGTAATAATTGTATAATTTCTTTAAGTTATTTTAATATTTAGTAATTAAAAAAGCATCGAAACACGAGGCTGTCGGATTTGTATGAGAGTATAAATCAGATTGCCGATTGTTTTGATGTTCTTTCTCTTTTGTATCTTAGGCAAAAAAAAACAACACATTCCCAGTCATCCAAGAAAAAAGTACCAAATGTATAAGCATCTGAATATGACTTTTCTACTGTTATCTCCTTCCCTGTCGTCACAATATGTAATCAAAGCACAGAAGGCGCTGAATTTGTTTGGGTCTCAGAATGTCAGAAAGGTGAAGGTTGTGAGATTGTAAACCAAATTGTTTTTGTATAGTGCCACCAATGCTTTCCAGCGTTTTAATTGTAGTAAATTGGCTATAAGACTAATTGCAACACTGATATTCAATCCAATGTTTATTTGACTTAAACAATTTGAAAAAAAAAATGAGTTGCCTTAACTGGGATTCGAACTCCAGACCTTTCGCTTCCTAAGCGAGCGCGCAAACCCCTCGGCCACGGTGAATCTATATACGAACGGCCTAAAGAAAACCATATTATTCTAAATTAGGGTTTGTAACGATGCTAACTGTTGTTTAACACGTGTGTTAATAATCATGGCGCTTACTATAAGCATGTATATCTATAAAGAATAAAACAATATTAGAAATCTTCGACCATTCGGGAATTATTTTGCTTGAAAATTAATGCGCCTGTCATTTGACCATCTTTACGCAGTGATCTCCCCTGAATTTTTCGGCGTTAGTGTACATATAAAGGGAAGTAACCGCTTCAAAAAAGCGGACTTCTTTCGGCATTTGCAATTAACAGCATTAGAGTCTGAAATTTCGCTACCATTATTTGTTTGGTCTGACGACCAAAACAAATAAAAACCAGAAAAAATGAACCAGTTAACAAGCAAGCTCCAGACTGACAGTGAGTTAAAGCAATGTGCATGTATTGGTATGCAATTTAACTCTGACTTGTTTTCAAAAGTCTCCAAACTTATGATGATACAATCATAATATGTTGTATGACAATAATTATTTATAATAAATTTATTTTGAGTTACGGTAATTTCATTTTCATAAAACCATAATAAGTCCATTACTTTTACTTGCTATTTTGCAAACAATGCAACATTATACCAATGACAATTTTTAGGTTGAAAAAAAATCACTATAACAGTACTGTTAGTCAAATAAAGCAATGTACTATGATATTGTTTCTTTAACAAGCATTGGAATTGATTTATGTTTGAAATATGTGTAAGTTATTCAAATTCTTGTATTATGCTTACCAATTTATAATGTAAATAACAAGGAATCAGAAGTTGAGACTGTTTTATGAACTTGTCAGTTAGTTTGAAAGAAATAATCCACTAAATATTTCACAGATTATGATATAAGATATTGAGATACAACTGTTTTGCACTAGGATTTATTTAAAATATTATCAAAATGTTGGTGCGAAACGGTTGTAACTTAAGTTACAACCGTTTCGCACCAACAAAAAATGTCTGTTTGAGTTACAACCTTTGGACATATATACTTTTTTGGTAGTTTAATTTTAGCTTTCAAGTTCAATATTTTTACAACATGTGTGTATATTGCTCCTACATTGAAAAATAACATAAAACCATTTTCGGTGAAATTATGAGTTACAACCCTTTCGCACCAAGGCATCGACATGTTAACATGGAAAAACTAGTTTTTAGGTGATTCCAAAGTTTTTCATCATTTTTTGTTAACTGAACCTTAAGCATTGAAATATCGCATTTCAAATTGAATTTGACTCTTTGAAAAGATGTCAGGGCTTCTTGTGCTTCATACGTCGATAAAAAGCGACACTGACATGGAAAAACCGTTAAACTACCACAGCAACACATTTATCAGTCATTTTCAGCAAACCGGAATCGTCAGAGAGGCGGTGTGGTTTTAGTTAATGTAAGCAACCAATGTAATGACTGCACATCAATAATAATCCGTAACAGGTTAAAAGCCGCTACAAGTACCGCCTGACAATATTTAGACAAACTGTTCTGAATCGTTTGAGCAAGAGTGGAAACCAAATAAGGGTCCATACGTAGGCAAGATTATTGTTCCCAGTCATCACCGGATACACCAGGCTTACACCAGGCTTAACGTCATTCACTGGCAAGATCAAATAAAAAAGAATGTGCATCACTTAAATGGAAACAAATAGTTTCAGTCAGATGTTGATATCAAATACATTTAAATATATAAACTAACTAATTAAGACAAAAAAGACATGTTACACTAATGAACCAATAGAGTTGATGCAAGAATATTCTAGCTAGATCATAAAACAACAAGGAAAAGCGTTTAAGTTAATATAAATATTGAGTAGTGACTCCCCTTTTAATTATAGTATGATGTAGATGTATTAATTTTTGGATACAGCGTTTTGGATGTTATTTAAAATGTATTAAAAATGCAAATTTATTAACACCTTGAATATTAAATATATATTTTGTTAACTACTTTCGAATGTGCTTATTAACTCTGAATTCATATAATCAGGATATTGACTGGAGTTTTTAATCTATATACACGGTCAATGTACACACTAAATCTTGAACTATTTTAATAATAATATTCCGTTCTTTTGAAAAAAAGGATAAGCAGAAGACATGCCCGAGTGTCATACTTCTTCCTTTTCAATTTGAAAAATTTAATTTTAACTTATGACCTTGAACGTCCTATCTTTTAAGAAAACAAAGTGGGTTACATAACACTGAAATAAAATCTATACCAGCTAAGAATACAGAAGGACGTTTATAATCCCGAATTGCAGTACTACGGTGCCCGCTTCGTGCCATTATAGCCTGTTCGTCGCAGTTGCTTTCATATACGCGAGTACAAAGGGTTACTTTACCGGAGTGGATTCTAATGTTGCGCCCTTCCGCGTCAATTTTGGCTTCTTCGAACATAGATTTCATGTATTTTCCCAGCGTATTAATGCCAACACACTGTTGAGAGAAAGCTACCGCCCCGTTAATTTTATTTGGCAATGGTTTCCTATAAAAGTGCCCTGCTGGTGGAATAAGTGACAAATACTTCTCAAACAGACTAATAATACACCTGGGATTATTTTCATCTTGAAACTGTTTTACCAGCTTCGGCTTTGTTTGAGACCACCCTGAACATTTTTACTGAAACGTCCACGAAATACCAATACTTTCTGGCCCAATTCATTAGTTATACTATACTGAGTAACATCTAAAGTTTTATGTTCGTACCCTCCTCTAAATCCAAAAACCTTCCGATTGTAGAAGAATACCCCGAAACTTAAACTTTTGGTGGAATCAAGCCCAATAACATTACGATCCCACAATAGCAACTCGTCTTCTTCTGTCACGGGGTCTGCTCTGTCGCTGTGAATACCAATACCTGAAGTTCGAAAAAATAACGCTTAAAAGATACATGTATATACAGGCAGTTTTTCTTACATTTTGTTTGGCGGTATAAAGGTGACGTCGCCAGTATTTTATGTGACGGCCATGTGTGCACGTAGTAACTGTCTCTTGTACACACGTACTAGCTATCGCGTGTTCACCCAATAGCTATTACATGCGTACGTGATACATATTTCCGACTATATTTAATAACAAACGGGTAGAACCATCGATCAGCCAGCTAGATGGCTACGAATAATGACATAAAATAAGTTCAATCTTGGTCCGGTAGAGATGGCGGAGGAAGGTAGCAGCTTCCGTGCCTTATAAATATATCTATACATGTTTGCTGTATATTTTGATCTCATAAAAGTAAGACATACCTATAAGATAGCACCCTCCTTGATATTTCTAGAATTATATTCTTCCACTAGAGTGGAGCCTGTTATATATATTTAACAGTTATTTAGGTAATCTTACCTGCACTGGTTAATGCTTTCATGCGACTGTCTAACGCCTTTCGGAACTCGCTGAATGACTTGTCACTCTCGTCCAGTATATCCAAAGCGACCATGGTCCTCTCTCAAAGAACGTTGAATAGATGTTGTAATGTTATATAACGTATTTGGGGGATAGTTCTGTACATCTTCCCTACGACATTCCACGATAAATCGGGACAACCAATAGTCCAAACTGACCAAGGATTGAGCAGCTATGTCAACTGGGACCGCCCCACGGTCACCCAACAAAAATTCACTTTGCTTGTTTCGCCACTGTGCCCAGTCTTCAAAACAAGACATAGCCCAACTATTTTGTTTGCGTGTATTTCTTGGTATTCGCTGCGCTTTCAGTAGAGATAAATCAGTTACAACATTCACAGAATCAAATCGTCCATCAGTATCACTTTTTACGTTTATATTAATCAAATCCTGTGTGGGTAAATTGTCCAGTTGTGTAATTGTAACATTGTCAGTTTCAAAAAGTTGGCTTAAATCAAAATCCTTATCCATTTTGCCACACAATAAATCTACATGTACACATGTGCTAGTACTATAGATCCGCACAAAGTATTGAGCATTGACTGCACTTTAAGATACAGACTTTTCCTTTTGGGGGGGGGGGGTATAAAAACAGCAAATAATATAAACTGGCTTTTGACTATACCATACGAAGATCCTATACAAAAGCGGTTGAAATAATGCAGTTACCGTTATATTTGGCAAAATTGAACTAGCACTCATTAATGTTCCGCAAATATATGAGTGGCCGTCAAAATATACCCGTAATAAGGCTCGGAATAACCGATAATTGTCTGGCGATTCCCACGGAATATACATGAGTGCGAGTTCATCTGTCAAGTATACAGACAATAATAATCACCGGTCAGTTTACATACACCCACATGGATTTGACATTTTTGTTTCAATTTATCAAAAAGAATAATTATTGGACCATCCGTCATTTATACTTAATAGTTGTTAAACAAAGCTACAACGTTGGGATACAACGTTGGTATGACAGAAACATTCAGAAACTGATAGCGATATGTGTTTTAAATCTGTTAAAAAGAGTACAAATAAGAGACTTACATGCAAATCCCTGTGCATAAAACTGATTTTGTCACGTGGTCTAAGTCAGATAGAAAATCTCGTGGGGTTGTTTATACGGTATAGACACTCACTAACGCTCGCTAACGCTCGTATCTATATCGTATAGACAACCCCACGAGATTTTCTATCCTTTACATAGCAAGCTTATAGATGGATATTATCAAGAAAGGCATTTTAATGAATATAAGCAAGGGACGTCTCAAGCTGACCAAAACCTGTTGGCTCAAATCCCGGTAAAGACCAAAGTAGGGGTGTGTCTCAACATATATTCGGGTACTATCAAGGAGGTAATCCACAAACAATACAAAATAATCCCAGATCTACTATCAGACAATAGCCTTACTTATCTGACACAAGTAACCAGGTTATAAATATTAACTATAGGCAGGGGTTGTCTCAAAGTTTTGATCAAATGGGAAAATCTAGACCTTTCATCTTACATTCCTCGCATTCTATAGATGAACAAAATAACAGGCAACACACAATGAATGAATTTTGTCGTGAGGGGGCATCTCCAACAGACAATGACTTAGCACAAACAGTTAGTTCATGTAACAACCCTCACATAGAGGGAAGGATATGTGACAAAATAACTTATGTTAACCAGGGGCCGTCTCAAAGTGTTACATTGCAAAACACAAATGCTGCTGGTAAACCATATGAGTATGTCAATATGCACAATAACACAACTGATATGCACACGTTCACAAACAAAGATTTTAATCAGGGACAAGTTCAAGATTTTCAAAACCCAAACTTTAATGCTACAAGTAATACACTTGGGTTCAGTAATAATGAAAGCGCTCTTTCTGGACAACGTCATCAAAACGAGAGATTTTTTAGTCAAGGCCTAAGACAAACGCCCTATATCTCTGATAATAGAGCACACACACAATCAGTAGCAAATACACTTGAAATACATCAACAAAGTCCCAACAAGGGGTCACATCAAAACTTGTCTTTCATACCCCATAGTAATTGCTATATCCCTAAACACAGTTCAATGTCGGTTCCAAATGAAAACATGGAAAGACAGAACTCTTTTATTAGAGGGAGAAGGGATCTAGGCACACCATGTTACCCTAATGACCAATATGCATCGTATTTAAATGATACTTGGCATCAAGATAGACTACCTGCATTCAACACAGGAATACAAAAACTTCACACAAATGTACCATATGATGATAAAAGTTTATATCATACTACACATCCTTTGCATAATCAACCACATAAATTTACGTCAAAGCATAAAGCTAAAGAGCCTGATAAATTTGATGGCCAATCAATTGAATGGCGAGACTACATAGTACATTTTGAAAATGTTGCAAAATGGAATAAATGGGATGAGACTGAAAAGGCACAACAATTGCTTATGAGTCTAAGAGGTCCTGCTCAAAAGCTACTCAGCGACCTTAACCCCATACAAATGCATAACTATCAATATCTTTTAACCGTGTTAAGTCGCAGATTCAACCCTGCTGAAAGAGAAACAGCATATCGCTGTGAGTTTAGAAACAGGAGGCAGCAAAAATCAGAAACTGCCTCTGATTTTGGCTATGCATTACAAAAGTTATGCGTAAAAGCATTTCCGTCAGTGCAAGCAGAGGCTAGAGAAATCTATATCATAGACCAGTTCATAAATGGTTTAATCAAGCCCGAAGTGAGAAGCCATGTTCAATACAGACACCCTTCAACAATAGATGCAGCTATTGCCTTAGCAATAGAATTTGAAGCCTTTGAAAATTCACAGGGCATTCTCAGGAAACCAAGATTTGAAACTGAGCAACCATCAAGCTGCAATACTATTTTTAAATTAAAGGAACCCGTTACCTTAGATGATATCGCTTCACTACTTCAAACTTTGAATCAGAATATAACTAAATGAAATAGAAGCAGATCAAATAGACGAGGGAGATCTAATAGTAGGGACAGATCTAACATAGAATGTTTCAAATGTCATGCCAAAGGTCATATGGCAGCAAACTGCACTTCAAACTATCAGGAAAACTAGCAGGGACTGTCCTTGCGCCCGGAAGTCCAGCCTACGAAAAATCAAAAGAAATAGGGCAACATAACATTGTTTTGAACAATATTACTAAACGTACATGTCTTTATACAAAGGTCATTATTCAGGATGTCTGTACACAAGCACTGATTGACTCTGGATCAGCTGCAAGTATACTTTCAAATAAATTAGGAAGAAAGATTGGCATTAAAAATGAAGATCTACAAAAGGTATCATATACCTTAACTGCGGCAAATGGGGGTAATTTGCACGTGTTTGGTAAAATAAATTTGAATCTTGAAATAGACAATGAGGTGTGACTTTCATGTGGCTGAACTTGAAAACGACTTACCTGCTTTATTAGGTAGTGACTTCCTTGAAGATTTTGATGTTAATATAAAGTTTGGAAAAGCAAGTATGATCATAGGCAAACACAAGATAAAGTTATGCAGACAAGAGAGCAACAAGTTAGCTCGTATAAAACTTGATACTTCTACAACGATTCCTGCAGATTCTGAAATTACAGTAAAAGCCAAAGTAGATGGTGTATTTTTTGATACACAACGGGTATTGGAACCATATAAAGAAGGACAACTCAATAAGGTTCTGTCTTGATTACAGACGCCTTAATGACGTCACACACAAGGACGCATATCCGCTTCCAAAAATTAATGATGCACTAGATTCGCTTTCTGGAGCAAAATATTTTTGCACTTTAGACTTAGCATCTGGTTATTGGCAGGTAAAAATGCATCCTGACAATAAACCTCTCACAGCGTTCAGTGCGCATATCGGTTATTATCAGTTTAAGGTCATGCCCTTTGGATTATCAAATGCACCTGAAACGCCTAATTTAATTAGTTCTAATGCAATGGAAAAAATGTCTTTGCTACTTAGATGACATAATTGTTTTTGGTCCCGATATTGAAACCACACTTCAAAATTTCATAAAAGTTTTTGTTAGATTTTGCGCTGCAAATTTAAAACTTAAACCAAAGAAATGCCATCTTTTCAAGAAACAAGTTCATTATCTTGGCCATATTGTCTATGAGGAAGGGATATTTTGTAACCCAGATAAAATTCAGTCAATTAAAGATTGGCCTGTACCCACAAATAAATCTGAAGTGAAAAGTTTTCTTGGTTTGGCTTCATATTATAGAAAATTCATTTCAGGTCATGCATATTTATCATTTCATCTTAATGAACGTACTCAGAAAAATAAAAAGTTTATTTGGACAGAAGATTGTCAAGAAAGTTTTGATAAGCTTAAAGAAAAACTAACCTCACCACCTGTCCCAGCTTTCCGCAAGAAAATGGCCTGATCATTCTGGATACAGATGGTTGAAATACCAGTATAGGTTGTGTATTGTCACAAAAACAAAACGGTGAAGAAAAAGTGATTTCATATGCAAGCAAATCTCTCAGCAAATCACAACAAAAATATAGTGTACAATCTTTATAGAGTTGTTAGCAGTGGTAACATTTGTCAAGTATTTCAGACATTACTTGTGGGGTCGAAAGTTCCTAATAAGAACTGACCATGCATCCTTAATATGGCTAAAAAATTTCAAAGAGCCGAAAGGAATGTTAGCTCATAGTGTTCAAGTGAACCAAAATTGTATTGTTCCAATTGTAAACTTAGAACAAAGTGCTGAAACTTCATATAATAGTGATCAAAATATGAACCCGGTCTATAAAGTGTTCACAATTCAAGCACAGGTCATTGCCTTAAGAATATTAACAAAGATGAAAGCGTACTGCAAGATAACACAGTGTTTTGTGTTAAAAAGGCACACACTAAATATGTAGAAAATAACAATCAGTATGACGTACAGTGTTCAGACACAGAGTTTGGACAATATTTACAAAACAAGTTTTGTATATTTGAGGCAGTCAATGACACTCAGTTGTCTAGTACAAAGTCATAAAGAAAGCAACGGCTTTTCATCCCAATCATTCATTCAAAAGTTCACATTCAATGATAAGAATAGTGAAATTCCATTTCACACATTAAATGTAGAAAAGGATGGCTATACCCAAAGCCAAAGCCTAGTCGAAAATCAAATTCCGGTTTTGAACTCAAATTGGATTGGTCAATGGTTAAAAAAGGAATTGCTAGAGTTTCCAAAGCAGGATCCTCACATTAGAATCATTCTAGACTTTAAGGCTAAATTCAAGGATAAACCTTCAAAAAATAGATAAAAACAGAATCCCTAAAGAAAGCCCAACACGGCAAAATTGAAAATGTTGCAGGCTCGGTTTGATTGAGCCTGTTCAAAACACAGACTAGCACAATATAACACAAATGCTCGACCCTTTTAGACTCTTTGGGAATATCTCAATGTTAAAAACAATTTGCTATGGCGGGAGCATGAAAACCAAACTTTAAGAT